ATGGAATTTCTGGTTAGTTAAATGCCAGATATTCAGAACTAAATGTCAGTAAACTCTCTGCTATCTGTCTTCATCTGGGTTGAGTGAATGCTTTATTACATCGAGTAATGGTTTATTTCATTGTAGGTTATCTTCGTGTATATATAATGGATGTAAATACAATGTTTACTTTTCAATTATTTCACAGAAGTTATCTTGTTCTGTACAGGTGTTGGCACAAAAATTGATCCAACTTTGTGCCGGGCTGACCGAATGGTTGGGCAGGTTCTTGGTGCAGTTGGAGCACTGCCTGAAATATTCACGGAGCTAGAAATTTCCTATTTTCTACTTAGGCGACTACTAGGTGTACGCACTGAAGGTGACAAGAAAGCTGCAAAGGTTAGCATATTCTATACCTGTTCTTTAAAAAAGAACCCCCCCCCGAAAAAACAAAAAAACTCCATCATGGTATTTTTCAGACATGGTATTTTTTGGTGTATGGGTGGAGACTCTGTTTGGTGGAAGGAGGCGGCAATGATCTGTTTTGCATAGATACAAGCTGTTTCCTGCTGTTTTGCATGGATACAAGCTGCATAGAATATACAAGATATATTCTACTTAGAGTTGGTGGAGAGGAAATTTGGCTTTCTTTTTAATTTATGCAGTCCTGAAATTAAAATTATTTTCTAGACTAGGGTAGGCCAGTCTTTTTTCTAGATCACCTTTGCAGCAAGGAACCTTGTGTATGACTTGTGCTAAGATTTATATATAAAAAAGGTAAAAATGAGACACTTCGTCATGGGTCAGACATTTTACCCTGTTTGTGTGGAATGATCCTAGACATTTAGAATTTGCACCTCTTTCACAGTATTTTTTCCCCTGACTTGTAGAAGTAGGAATCAATATTGTGGTTTGTGGTGCCTTTCGTTGTACTGTAAAATTATCTTAAATTGCAAGTTTCAAAATTTAACTTTCAGAATTTTCTACACCTTTCAGGTGCAAAAACTATCCAAGAATGAAGTTTTAATGGTAAATATAGGATCGTTGTCTACTGGAGGAAGAGTTAGTGCGGTGAAGGCTGATTTGGGCAAGATTGTGCTAACTAACCCTGTGTGCACAGAAGTGGGAGAGAAAATCGCCCTTAGTCGAAGAGTTGAGAAACACTGGCGGTAAGTTGATAATATAATACTGCATCTCATTGCTGCAGTATTTCAATGACAAATCTGCGCATCTGTCTCTGGTCAAAGATTCATTTGTATTTCTGTTAAATTATTTAAGTGCCACAGCATCATTTTCAAAACTGTCACAAGTAGAATGATTGGTTATGTATTATTTAATGTTAAACATAGTTAACTTTCTGGTGCTTTGAGTTAACTTTATATCACAACCCCATCACAGAGTACTGATAGCTACTCTGAACTTCACGCTACTGGTATCTGGAAAATGTTTTATATATACTTAATTCTTTTCTCTGGATTAAAGCAGTTGTACTTTATCTATGGAGCTGTGCCTGGCAATTCAGCCTATGTGCAACTTTGAGTGCCTTCTTATAAGAACAAAGCGGTAAGAGTAGGGATGCAAAGAGACAAGGAGTTTTTCTTTTTCTGGCTCTGGTGAATTTGGAGGGAAAGTGCATGGGGAATCGATTGGATTGCCAGCATAAAGAACAAAGAGAGAGAGACAGTGGCATCTGGTAACAGAATCCTGAACTTTGGGAGCAGAGTGGTGGTTAGCCATATTTTAAGTTTACTGACAAATTTCTCTACAAGCAGCTGCTTGCTCAAATTGCTTGCCTGTTCCCACAAAAAAAATAGATGACAGAAATACCAAGGGATCTAGTCTTCCTGACCTCTGGGGAAAATGGCAGGGGGAAGATAGGAAAGGAAGGGAACGTGAACTGTTTCCATACTCCTGATTTGGCTGGGACAGTACAGGATTTTGAATACTTACCTTAGAAAACTCTTCTAAGGCAGTATGGTAGACTGTTCCTTTACCACTACACCCTGCTAGCTTTTTCTGCAGCTGTGCAGCAGAATAGCAGAACTGGGAGGCAGGTGCCTGCATTAAAGGGGTAGCTAGCACATATTAAGGGACTGGTTATTGTGCAGCTAAGAAAGCGAGTACATGCATGCTGAACAGAGAAAAGGTGTGGCATCCAGAAAGAAATGAGAAGTCATAGAGAAGAAAGAGAGCCGTGTGGATAGACACATATTGTTAAACACATTAGCAGTGATTTGTTTCATACCTGGCTTGCTGTCACTGGAACAAGGTTCAGTTTTTTTTTTCCTGCTTTTTTGTTCCATTATTTTTATTCTGTTTTTTCTTCCTCTGGTTTCAACAAAATGCCCTCACGGATCCCCTTTGCTTGGGGATACAGCATCCTCCAGGTACCTTCTTTTTAGAATGTTTCCAGTTGTGTTGTAAAGGAAGAGAACCAGGAAAAATCAAAACCAGGCAATAGGAGGAACCTGGCAGAAAGGAAGGACAGCAGGAAAGGAATAATGGGGAAGCAGATTATTTCCACCTGTGGAAAAGAATGATAGTGCAGGTGTTGAAGGGGGAGAGAGCTGGACCTGAGGAATGAGGTACTTCAGAAAGGCAAAATAGGGATGAGTGTTAAGGTGAAGGAGTATAAATCACATGCATGGAAGAGGCAGTTCAAGAATTAAAATGGAAAGAATTAGATGGAGACACAAGATGCAGCAATGATCTTGTGCAGAAACACACAGTGCCCAAATGTGGATCAGTCTTAAACTTAAGGCTCCAACCAAGGAAGGTTAGGGATGCTGGATTCTGTTTATTTCATTTCCATTTTTATCTGTATATTCTGTTCTCTGGGATAATTGGCCCTAATTTTCTTGCCAGATAAAGCTAAGACTAATGCCAGGTTCTGCACATCTCTGTAAGAAACCGGGAGAGTCTTGAAGGCACTTGTATCCAATACCTGCCCATTACAGGGGTGGCCAACCTGTAGTCCAAGTGGCACAGACATCCTGTGTGTGTGGCACTTGATAGATTGGGAAGGGGGCAGACAACACATTGGCAGATCAGGAAGGGAGCAGAAAGCATAGTGGCAGAAAGTAGTAGCATATTAAGCAGAAAAAGGGGATTGGCGTGAACTTGGGGAGGGTACAGAGCTAACTTGTGGCACACCTGCCCCCGCTGCCCTAGAACCTGGGGAAGTGAAAAGTCTTTAAAGCTTACTTAGAATATCCATCTTAATGGAGAATAGCAAATGAGTGTATTAAAAGCGGTGTGTAAGGGGAAGTAGTAAGTGCTTCAACTTGTACAAGCAGTTCGAACAGTTTTAGAATTGAGTCCACTCAGTGTGCAAGCTATAGAGGAAATATCGTGACTTCACATTGAAATATTTAGAGGCTTGTCTTCACACAATTTTCTTCTAAAAAATAACTTGGAAAGAGTTGGAAAGATAACTGTGCACAGCTTGATCTTTACAGTTAGCCATATATAGCTGTTGAGAATTAAACCTTTGTAGGTGTTTTTAATTCCCTGTTCAATGGTAAATTCTTAAATGATCCCACTGCTTTAAAAACTAGTCATGTTTGTGCTCCCTTTCCCTCACCTTCTCCTTTGCTGCATCACCAGTAGCTAATCTTCCTAAGACTTGATAAGTGTTGGTTGGAGGTATATCCAGCACCTTTTAATATGTTATTAGTATTCAACATGGAAATGGGAGTGCATGTGGATTTATTCAGGATATTTTTTCAAACAGAGTTATAAATAACTTATTTTTGTTTTTTATTTTGCAGTTTAATTGGCTGGGGTCAAATTAGAAGAGGAGTGACAATCAAGCCAACAGTGGATGATGACTGAAAAGCAGAAATGAGTACTTCATTTTGCTAGATGGAGTGCCTGTTTCCATATATTTGAGGGGTACATTTTTGGAGTGGAATTATTTGCACAGCTCCCAGTACCTTTAAAAGTTGTATTCTGATGTCTCCATTCATTTTACTGAATTTTACCCTCATTAAAATATTAGTCATTGTCTCCAATAAAAAGTGTAAAACAGTTGGTGTAGAGATGGGTTTAATTTTCCACCTTTTGGAAGAAAATAATCAGAGATGTCTCATGCCATGTTTAATTTATGTTAATTTGTCATTCATTAAATAGATATTTGTTTCAAAATTAGTCAAGCCAGTGCTAATGTAACATGCACAGACCTGGTTTTTGAAATAAAATATTGCTTATTTTTCACTAATTCTCAAAACTTTTTGAATAGTGAGAGGCTACAGGGATTGTTCAGCTGCTACAGGAATATAAAAAGAAAATACTTCCCTGGACAAACAGTGCCTTTTTGGTCTGACACCTCACTTTGTTCAGGTTAAGCTTGTTCAGAAGACATTTGTTTTAATGTCTTTTAGTTTTTTGCTTTGTGAATTGTGACTGTATTGTATTTTACAGTTAGGCTGCCTACAATGGTTTTTGATTAGTTCTGGAAGAGAAACTGTTAAAGCTGCAAGGGGTAAAAAAAAAAAACAAACAAAAAACACAAGTAAATCAGACCCAAAGCCAAAGTATATTTGACCCTATTTCAGAATGGCTCTCCAGAGAGCACATTTTAATCAACAGTTTCTGCTTTTTGTCACAGCAAAGCTATACATAGGGACCTACCTAAATCATAATGTTTGCAGTGCAGTAGTACCTTTAATCTCGCTCTTTTCAGTGTGCTTTTTCCCCCCCCAACGCCACTGAGAGTCTGAGGGGCAAAAACTGGCATTAATTGCCTCAGTCATTCAATGGCCCAGGTTAGGGAAGGGACTGTGGTGAAAAGAGTAAGATTAAAAGCACCCCTGTGTCACAAACTTCCACTGCGATTTAGGTAGGTCTTTGGCTATATGTGGATGACTGACAAATTCTTCTACAGTTGCAAAGAATTATGTTGGGTAAAATGTTGTTGACTTGAAACCATAAAATGTCGAGGAAAGACTTAAAGTAGATACTTGTTCAGATAGGATTACAAATATGATTTGAGTACAAAAATAGAAAGTTACCATATCAAATAGTTTGAAGTCTGACTAATTTAGGAGAAGACTCGCAATGCATTTAACCAACATTTTAATTTTAATCTGATTTTGAGTCACCTGGTTACACTCCTTACACTCCATCTAGGTCTGACTTCTTTGTGTTTTTACTTGTAGTAAAATGCATTTTTCTAAATAATAGGTTTTTATGTAATTTGATGCTATTCATAATACTAATATTTTTAATTATTTTTAGACTTGGGAAACACAGTCTTCTTCTAAATCCTGTTTTGCATTACTGTTTTTAATAACTTTAAAGAGTAAACTTTTTTTTTTAACTAGTTAAATTTTACTGTGAGGAAACAATTTGTGGTTTTTTTCTGTTCCTGGTTTTGCCACATACTGGTATTCTATGGCCTTGCTTCAGATAATTCAGTTCTTCCCAACCATGGTGCTACAAGAGCTTTTCAGGGGTGCTGCAGTGCTGTTGCTGCCACCACTGCAGGCAGGTGGAACTGCCTGGCGTGCTGAGCCAAACTGGGAGCGCACACCCCTGTCTGCATTAGGGTTATCAGATAAACTTGGAGCAGGCACAAGAACCCAATCCTGTTACAAGCACTTGTTTCCAGGAGTTGGGAGTCAGCAGGTCCTGTCAACTTTAAGTTCATCGTATAACCCTAATGCTGGCACAAGTACATGCTCCTGCCACAGCCCTTCCTGGTCCAGCTTCATATGAGGCACACAGGGCAGTTTTACGTGGAGCCAGAAGCAGGACCTCAGTTGAGAGCCAGAGAAGACGGGTAGTACAACAGTGGCTCTCAACCAGGGTGCCTTGAATCTAAACAAAAGGCTGAGAACCAATGAAATAATTCAGTATTGTTGTCTTTAGTTTCTGCATTTGAAAAATACTCCATTGCAGTGTTGAAATTAAATGCATTAATTTTTACATGGTACCTCAGAGCCTCAATGAAGAATATAGCTTAAGTGTAAAATATTCTCTGATTCTCTTTGTTTTTAGCCAGCTTGTGATTCTAATTTAACTATTCTGAAAACTGGCATAGCATTTTTCACACTTGGATGTGTTTATGCAGCCAAAAATATTGGAAGCTTCTCACTCTTTACTAGTGGAAGGAGAAACGGGGGTGGGGGACCAAAACCTGAATAGGCCATCTGTAGTGTGCTAGTGCAACATTACTGACTACAGACTGTACTATTAGTTGCTTTTGAAAAATTGCACAAGGCACCTTTTTGCATCCTTAAGCCCTTAAATACTTGAATTCTAGCCTTAGTACCTTTATCTTCAACTTAAAAAGCTATTTAAAATGAAAAGGTACTTTAGTACAGCAAGCTCTAAATGTATATTATGCAGCATTTGTCTTGTTCACTTTTTAAAATACAATCCACTTGAATGAGCATTGTTATGCTAATTTTTATCAGTTCTGTATCTCCCTCACCTTTGCTATGAAAAAAACAAATAATTTATTGTGACTGGATCAATGTGATAGGTCAGGGCGGTGACCAAGGTATGGCATGTGGAGTGGATGTGGCTTGCAGAGTTGTCATGCAGCCCACAGTCTCTCCATGGATATGGAAATTTACAGGTGGGGGAGTGGTGACACTTTAATTGTTGTGTCCATCAGCCATGACAATTAATGCTGCCACTGCTGCTCTTGCCACCAGATTTCCAGACTCATGGGGTGTCCCACAGGCCAGATCATGCGGCCCTGTATGTTACATCAGCCTCCAGACTGACACAGCACCATTCAGGCCAATAGGGCCTGTTGAGCTGAACACAATGGCAGTAAGTTATCGGAGCACAGGAAGACGTGAAGCTCTGAGACTTCTGGATGCAAATGATCTAAACTTCCCCTTCAAGAGGCAAGTCTATTTGCAAACAGCAGGGGACTGAACTGAATGTTTAACGGACAATGTATCTCTTGATTTAGGCTTTGTCCCTGGTCACTGTTCTTTAAATTTAATTTTTTCAGGCTGCAGATATACTAATTCCAGTATCCCATTCATATTGACAAGGATTTTGATGAACAATACTTGCCTTTTGGGGTGCTCTATTACTTTCTAGGATGCTAAATTCTTCAGAAGACATGGCAGGAGGATACTGAATCTATTGGAGATTTCATTTTGGAGGGAATATGATGATATACTGTTATCTTTACAGACCCTTTACTTGGAGGTCTGTGTTAAAAAGTCTTTTTAAAAACATGAAGGGGCCTTTTCTTTCTATCTTCTAAACTACCTGGCATTTCAGATATGTTCTGTGGATGTTATTGCAATATAATACATACTTATCCAAAACAGGCCACAATAGCATCCCATGCTACAAACATGACCAAAATGAAAAAAATTCATACAATGTGCCAAGTGAAGAGAGCAGAAGGGACTAGGCACTGACAACACTGCTAGGATGATGGAATATGTAGGTGAAATGACTTTAGAAAGTGAACCTTCTTCCATGCTACAGAGAAGGGGTGGGGCAAGGGGAAGGTTCTTGCCAATATGTCCTGGGGGAAAGTGAGTGTAAATAAAACTCAGCGGTGAGGTACCTGCAACATATCTCTCAGGGCTGCTAGGAGCATCAGAACACCTCAGCCAATGACCTGTGCTCCTTGGGAAAGTAGGAGGTGGAAGGGTCATTAGACCACAAAGACCACAAGCCAAATAATGCACTGAAGGGAGAGAAAAAAATAATTTTCTACAGTTGCTTAAGACGTTTTACAAGAAGTGCCAACTCTTCTAGAAAACGATATAGGAGACATGAAAAACAGAGGGGCAAGTTAGAAATAAATAAAAAATAGGCACCCCCTAAAATGTGTGGAAGCTAAAACTGGAGTGTTTAAATTACGAGAAAAGAGATGAAGGTTACTTTAGGTAGCCCTACACCAGTATTTTGTGTTTGGCATTTATTGTGGATTGCCTTACTTAAAAAAGACATACTAGACAACAAAACAGCCATGTAAATGATCAAAGAATGGCTGATCTTGATAAAGATTCTATGAAGACTGAAATTAGTGTAATATTTGTGTGCGGGGGAGGGGGAGGGGGCCTATCTAGAATAAGGGAGAATCTGATTTGTTTTTCCCTTTGTAATTGCAGGTAGTTTGCTTCTTTAATCTCCACAATTGAAGAACAAAGGATAACTTGACAGAGTATACCACTAACACTTTTTAAGATGAGGATAATGCAGCATATTCATTGTCCTAGAGGTGAATGCATGTATTAGTGAAATGGACAGGTGTTTGAATAAGATGAAGAGGTTTTTCAATTACCCTCTTAAAAAGGATAGATGACTTAAATTCCATCTTTCAAAGGGAAATTTACTGGTTAGAATAGTCACAGTGGAATTTAGTTGCAAGTAATCTAAAATTAGGGATGACTAAAGATTTTGAATGACTTGTTTAACAGTTACTATTGTGTTACCTGTTACTCTGATTTCTAGATTGAGGGACATGGAATGGATTGGGATGGTATGCTTTGTGTCATTAACAGTGGGAGAAAAGAGGTAGGTTTGAACTGTGCATTATTTACTTCTGGCGCACATTAAACAGAAGCATTGTTAATGGAAACAATGCTGACTGGAAATGCTTCCGTGCCAGGCTGTATTCCTTTTAGACTTACCACAAGACAGCATGATGTAACAGGGGCCTTGTTGCTATGGATTTGTTAGACAGTTTTCTTATATATCGGTGCAAAAGCTATCAGACAACGTTTCTCCCCTAAAGCCTTAGAGAACAAAATATTTTCCAACCAAAATCAGCAGCATATACGAAAGGCATCGTGTGACTTCTTAGTAGAAGTTTAAGGTGTGTTGTTTAACATATAAGTTAAAGTACTGAAATGTGCTTTTTATTTTTATTTGGACTTTTTTCATAGCTTTCTTACACTCTTTTAATACTGAGAAAATTAGAAACTCATACTTCCCACATTTATACATCTAGATATCAACTCTAGCATTGACTAGGTGACAGAGTGAAGTTTATCAAATAATGTGATTATTTACCTGCTGGTTTCACATTAGTTCTCTCAAACTATACATTACCATGGAAATCAGGCCACCTTCTACTGCAGTACCAAGTTTGAACACAAGTTTTGATTAGCTCTTCTCCTACGTTGTAATACTGTATTTTTTTTCACATGCAACATGCACCTTTTACCCAAAAAAAAATGGTGTTCTTTGCAATGGAACAATTACTCTATTTTTCCTTAGTCAAAACAAACTGGTGCTGCCCCATTCATGCCCAGAAGAGGCAGCGTGTAACTTCAACCCAGCTCACCTGACATCTGTAAAGATCTGGAATGGGGCTTTTTTTGGCACTTTTATCTAATAGCTGGTTGAATCAGCTTTAGCTAAAAGCACCAAAACCCCCTGCTGAAGTGACTGATCTTTACAGACACTGCAGAGCCAGGTTGAAATAACATGCTGCTTCTTCCAGTAAAGCATGTTTTTGATTTTTAACATCTGCAAGTAGCCAAAATGACTTAAATTAGTGTTTGAAGTGG